GCTCCATTTCTGGGTTGACCCTGGACCCCTGAGCAAGGTATGGATAGCTGGGACGAGTTCTTCGCTCCCGCCCGCTGCACCAGTGACAGCGCGCGGCGAGTTTTTGTTAACGGTTACAAGTCATGGTGCGCATCAATTTTGGAACCCTAGAGTCAAGCTGACAGGCGATGACAGCAATGGCAAGCTGATAATTGCTAACGTAAAGAGTAGACAAAGAAATGTTTGCTTAAAGATGACTACAAATGCCATTTTACTAATGAATTTTAAATGAGAAGTTGAAACGCTCGATTTGTGGCAGTATGTGCTTTCATTGTATCTTTCAACAGCTTTTTTTTCTAAATTGAACTTTTCATAAAATAAATTGAAACATAGTTCACAAAAGTAAATTTTGATTTCTTCTCAGCATTGTGGCATACATTGAGGATTTCCACCACTATGCAGCTGATGAAGTCGAATTTGTTGAGCAACAAATTTGTTACATAGAATATAAGTTTTAAAACTATTCCACTCTTACAACGCGCCTGAAACCTGACGAGAGAAGCTTGTAATAAATATATCAGTAATCATAGTTCTTGATTTGTTAATAAGGTAATAAGTTTTCATTCTATTTCTGAAGGTTCTTGGTTTTTGAAATATCAAACAATTCTTTGATAACCAAAACAAAAAATAAGTATATGTAGTAGTTTCTCTATTCTAATTTACAAAGAACTATTAGACAATTTGAAGTGCGCAAAAGTCCACTATTCTGTCTTCATCTGCTAACAAAAGCGAAGAAATCGAGAAAGTTTCACAGAATGGTATACATATTTCACCCTCCCTAGTTGTACAATTGATCATTACATGATTGTTAAGCTCGCTTTGAAGAGCAGTAAGTAAGGTAAAGTCTCACATGACCATTTCTTTCATAAAGGGCTGTGGGAGCGCACTAGTTACAATGGTTTTTTAGTTGAAAAAATTGTGAAAAGAAGGCTTAGGCTATCTTGTGACCGTTTTTATATAATTTCTTCTAATAGTTACGTACAGAGTAATGTAAGAACGTTGACTTGATAGCTGAGCCTGACATTTCAAAA